TTACAGATCTTCTTTATGCACCAAGAGCTTGTAACACTCCAAAGAGAAAGGAAAATTTGAAATCGCATCATATGACCCCTTTAAATGGTGACCGTGATACTTGATGAGGCAAACATGATTGCATTCATTCACTAACACACTTAATTGGGGTGAGGACCTAAACATGATTTTCAGTGAACCTTTTCTTTAATATCTGTTAGTGACATTTCACAGCTCCATCTTGGCAAATTGAGGCCAGTAGTATTAAGCAATGTAATTTTAAAATCACAACCAAAAATTACAATGGGATTAATACAAGAGGAAAGAATTCTCAAGGAAACCCCACAATTCATATATGATTTGTTTTCATTTCCAATAAACCAGTCTTCAAAAGAATTCCTCAACAACATCAAATTCACAGTACACACACTCAAGATTTCCAGTATTGCGTTCTCTCAATATTTACTGAATCCCGCTGCTTCTTTCCACTAGCCAAGATCCGCAGATCCTGTAGTTTCATTTGCAGAACCCACATTTCCAGTCACACTCCAGTGGTTTTGTAATCTGAGCCCGTACGGATAAGTAATGGCTAAGACTGTACGAAATAAAAGTAAATGGAAAAACGCAGCCAAAAGTTTCCAGCAAATGTACACGCCCCCAGACAACACGCTGCTCATGTCTGTGGACATGAGCTCAAGTGGGCCAGTCTGATGATTGAAGGTGATCACTTCTGACAGTGCAGCGTTTTATCTGGACAGAATATACAGTATGTTTCATGCTCTGCTTCAGATGCTTTCTCCTTGTGCTGCTCAAATTTCTCAGGGGGAGGCAATGCAGAAATAAGTTTGTGACCTTAAAAAGTTAATCTAATATCCTGAGCGTTAACTGCACTGGAGCTTGAAATGAATGTTGGATTTTCATTTCAAGAGCATCAGCAAAGTTAAGTGTCTTGGGGAAAAGGCAAGTCCGTCTGAAATAGTTGGCAATACCTAACATGCATGTCGTAATGTGATAAAAAACCTTAGACACCGAAGGCAACTGCTAGGTAGCATTTGTGAAAGAAGACAGGCTTTGTAGAAATCATAATGTCATGTCTAGAACAAATTCAAGTGAGCTTTAGAAACAACCAAGCAAATATTTCATCACTATGATGCCTATTTCTTGGTAAAAATGGGGGGGGGGAAATCATTATAAATTATTAAAAACCACTCCTTCAGATGGCAGCATTTTTATTCATTCCACTAACAGGATGTTGCGTAAACACCGAATTCAGATGTGCCTTGTTACATTTCTAGCTCCGTATACACTCTTGAAGGCAGCATTTTTCAGCAATAGTTTCATCATGCACTGATTCACCGGGAGCATGATGACTTGACCCTGTAAAACGCTGAAACCTTACATTTATGGTTACTCATATCAGATGCATCTAAACAGCATCTGATCCCTGCAGCTGTGTTCACCAGCTAAACAATTGATTGTTATCTACAGTTCAGCCTTGCATTTGGCCTCATAACTCATTTGTGGAAATTGCACTGGAAAGGTTTTTTTTTTTTTTTTTTTTTTTTTTGTT